ATATGTACGTTATGTTCTTTTTTTGAAAAAATATTCAAAACGCACGACGACGACGACGGCGGCGGCGACCTCGTTTACCCTGTCACCGTAACTGGTTACGCAATGCAACCTTTCTCGAAACTTGAAAGCGGCATTTAGCAGGCAGCAGTCGGGAGTGGCGCATGCAACCATTCTGTCAGAGTTTCTAGAAATAGGCAAAGCCAGCGGAGGAGAGGGAATAGTTTCGCATTTTTTCGTTCCAGTTACGTGCCACACAATTCCTGCGGTCCCATAAATCTCTCTCGTTTCATGTCGACTGTGTACGCCACTCGGTGTAATCGTCCATTTCGTGCTAGACTCTCTTTCTCTCTGTCTCTCTGTCCAACGACGATAGTTCCTCCACCATTCTCGCGAAAGTATATATCGGGTATGGTATAGTAGCTTTACGTTTTCTTCATTCTTCGAGTTTTCATTCCGTTCCCATTCCCGCAAAAATATACGATCCAAGTTTTTTCTTTTTTTTTTTTTTTTTTTTTTTTTTTTTTTTTTTCCTTGGCGCCGGTCAACGAGCACACCGTCACTCTAGCACACAACCAATGATAAAGTTGTTTACACGTATCCTATCCCGTATTTCGTATTATTCCTTTCTCGCGTTCCTTATTTATTCAAAAAAAATTCGAATACATAAATAACATATATAATACATATATATATATATGTATATACGTTTCGTTATCGAAACTTCGTAATGGAAAAGAACAACCTTCTCTGTCGATTTCTTGTCCAGATTTTTTAAAAAATCTGGAAACGAAATCGTTCAAACCAAGTATATATATAATTTCATGTCCCCGTAACAACACCGCAAAACGATTAAAGAATCTTAGGATAAATTCCTAGGGGCAATTGTTCCAGGCCATTTCGTCAAAAATTTAATCTGGTTGTGGGGAGGAGGGGCGGTGGGCTAGAACACCAGGACTGCATTAATTAGACCCACAATTACGGTAATGGGGGAGTTGGTGCATCGCAATTATCGTAGCGCCGCGAAGGCAGTTAATTAAGAGAAATTCAATTAAGCTCTTTCGGCGTGCGCTCCACGCGACGATAAAAGACCTGGCCAGACTTTCACGCATCGAGGCCGATTCTCGTTTTAATCGGTAAAAACTCCTTTTCTCTCCCTTTTCCAAACGCCAACATTCGTCCCCTTTTTCCCCCCCTTTCTTAGATCCCGACGAAAAACGAAACGAAGAAAATGAAATCGATCTCGATCGTCCTTCCTTTCGTCTTACGCGACTTACTCGCACGTTACGAGAGTAAGAACGGAAGTTAGTCGCGGCGGGCATCACGACTGTTAACCGTTCTCGAATAATCCTGGCTATCCACCTAAGCTTAACGTAATTGAAACTGTCTAGCTGCGGGCCAACGTAACAACGCATCGAGGGATAATTTCGAGAAATGAGAAGGGAGGGAGGGAGGGATGGTGTGCAACGCGGACGGAAAATCGATACGTTGTAGGTAGAATTATAGGGATCGACCTCGGGATTAGCCACTCGTTCCTCGAACGAACATTATTATCGCCAGCAATTCAGCCACCTATGCCAACTTTCGATCCCGAAATATACCGTATCGCTTTATTGTTCCGCGTACGAGATGCCTCGTCCAAATATTCAATTAAAATGCGTATAATTATATAATACGTCCTCGAAATTACGACGAAAGAAAACAAAAGAAGGAAAAGAAGAAAACAAAACCCGACTCGTTGGAATCGTCCATCCACGGGATTACCACCCCCGACTGTATCCATCACCAACGATAGCAATCGGTGTGACGTCTAGGGTAAAACCAAGCTCCAAATTGTGGCGTGACAACCGAGCTGCTGGATCGGCTGCAAAAACGATTTCCATCGTGGCGGCTATCAATGCGATGAAAACGTCAGCAGGGGGAAGGAAATATCGGAGGAAGGGGCGTGGAAATCGGGGAGAGGCCGCAAATAGCTCGTTAATATCGTGACGCGGGGTAAACAGCGGTTGATGAAACAGCGTCTCGCTCGATCACGCCATTAGAAGGCGTGGATCCCTCGAAAAACGGACGGTTTTCGATCGAATATATTAACGATAAAATTTTTCGCGCTGGTTTGGAAGAGATGGCACGCTTTGGTTTCTTGAGAGGGGAGGGGAGAGACTCTCTTGCTGGGGAAACGCAACAATTTCCGATCCGGCTCGAAATTACCTCGATGATCGGGTCGGATAGGCGTGAACTCTTGCCTGGGCGAAATTATACGGGCACAATAGCGCGTGAAATTCATTAAAGCTCGGCGAGGAGGACCGCGTTTGATTCCCCGCGTCTCCCTCTGTCATCGAATTGTTGCGGTTCCCTCGCGCGGACCAGGTCGCTTTTGATTCGCGACCCCTTCGTCCCCTCTCGCTCGTGCTCGTATGATATTGATGGAAAAGGAGAGGAGAAGCGTAGAGATGCGAAATGTTTTTTATTTTTCACGTTTCAAAATTCGGCGTTGAATCGTTTTTGGATCTTTTCGTAATTTTTGTGGAAATTTGGTATATATTTTTTTGTACATATGAGGTGTATGAGGTAGCGTATTGTTGCGCGGATTGTTGAGAGGACAATTCGTTTTTCGCATCTGACAGGAAGCATGGAGAGAAAAAAATTTTCGAATCGTACGTTTTTGTTTTTTTTTCGCACGATCTACAGTTAGTAAAAATATCGAGTACCGTCCAATGATAACAATGGTGCAACGATTTATATAATTTTATCGCGGGTTTATCGATCGTTAATGGTTGTCGTCTCATCTCTCTCTTCAAATTTTCCAAAAAAAAAAAAAAAAAAAAAAAAAAAAAGAAAGAAATGTAATTTAATCGACTAGAAATTTTCCAGACAGAAGCGTTAGATAGAAAAGCGTTGTTTTCCGCTTTTTAATGTCACGTGGACCGATGTGGACGTACGTCTGTTTCACGCGGCGATTCGGCACACAATCGATACGTGACGTTTCGTTGACTTTTATACGAATTTAATCTGCGCCCCCATAATTGAACAGTATGAACCCTGATATGATAGATAATCGTTTATCCGTGATATCGACTGATTAATCTGATCGATCGGTTAATGCACCAGCTGCGGTGATAAGCCCATTGAAATCCACGTAAATTATGTATTGAAATTGCGAGACGGTGGGTTTAAAATGTCGGCCAGATAGGAGCCGACAGGTGCTCGTAATCGACCGATATTCTTGAAGCATTAAAGAAAAGTTGAGAGTGGAAACTGATGTTCGATAAATGGAAAATAGATACCTTCCACTAATTTCTTACAGTTCGTTCTCGTATTATCGGCAAACGTGTCGAGATAATTGTAGCGGTTTTTGCATCGTTGAAACCGCAAATCGATAATGCGATCGCAAACACACGTATCATCTTCGTGATAAATTTCGAAATATTTTTTTTTTTTTGTCTACTTGTGAACCAACGAGTTCTCGACTAATCAATTTTTTTTTCCATAAAAATTTCAACTTCTTCGCTTTCATAGATCCACGATTGTCGCTCGTTAATTGAAAAAGAGAATCGTGACACGGTTATCCGATGAAACAACATATTTGACAAAAGAGTAACACATTTGAAAACGCTCTCGTTATTTTTAGCCGATAAATATGATATGGAATAGCAATTCTCAACAACTCAAAATTTATTCTCGGATTTCCACTAATTTGATAATTTAAAAAAAAAAAAAAAGAAAGAAAAAAGAAGGGCGGAGAGAATCACAAGAATAAAGACTTTCTAAATTTTCATTCGAGACACGTAGGCACGAAGAAAGTTCAGCTGTAGAGAGAATAGCGATAGAAGGTGTATTCCCAGGTTGATCTCCGATCCAGAAAATCCCGATGAGACTTGTGAAGTATTTAAACTACTAAAAACTATTTCACGAATCGTAAGTATATCGTAGACTTACAAATCGCGCGCGAGTGTGTGTGTATCCACGGAAATGAACGTATATTAATGAGGATTGGCCTCTGAAAATTCTTCAAAAGCTACGAATTACAATCGAACATTTTTCGCGCCGTTTGTTCGAGTTCCAATTTACGCACAATAATTGCAATTAATATTCATTGAAATGGAAAACGGCTCTGTAAATCCGGAATCGGCGAGCGAGATGCGTGCACACGCTTTACACGTTCCAAGAAAATAACTATGTTCTGATCCCGCACCTGGGGCCACACTTTTCATCGTCTGTGCTCTATGATATAACATCCCGATTCGTTCGTTTATTTATTTTTTATTTACGCTGGTAGATTTTAACTGTTGATTTCCGCAGGGGTGAATTACTCGCGACGATGGGTCGAGGGAAAATAGAGGAAAGGATGAATATCTTCGAGTTTCTTCGGAGGTAATTAGGATTAAACTCTAGGATATAACTCGTGGACGGCTAATAGAACACTCTAATATAACGGTGTACGATTAATAGAACACTCGTTGGATCGATTCGATGGGATATCGAATGTTTGACGACTTTTTCGTCGCACAGAGAAACTGAATCGAAATACGTCGGAAAATTACGTCAACGTTGACGTATTCGAACGAATAACAGGACGAAAAAAGAAAGAGATTGCGATTATTATTTTACGATTCGCGTTTTATTCGTATCGCTCCGATTTCGTAGGGAGACAGTCGGTTGCGGAGTGAAACGTTCGAAACCAGAAGCCGTGACACTACGGAAACTCGGAGCATAAACTTCCGGCAGTTTCGCGAGAAGTAAAGCGCGACCGAGCTGTCCGATGTGGGACAGAGAACAATCGTGAAACGATGAATCACCCGACGAATTCTACGAACTCTCGTCCGTCGACCAACAAAACAATCGTTGTTTCTCCTACGCTATTTACATTTAACGTAGACGGAACAAAGGAGACACCTCGTTCTTCTCGCGTATAAAAGCTATCACCACGAGCGCACACCGAATACAAAAAAAAAAAAAAAAAACCGATCAATCGTCGTTACTCTTAAATAATTACACCCCCGTACCTTTACGAGATCACGTTGACCAGGAACCACTGACGAATGTGCATGAATCTCACTCAGCTCCCTCCACGGGCACCACGGGCACCACTCTTGCTCGACGATCAGAGAGAAACAATCGTGGGAGAGGGGGGAGGAGAGGGAAGAAGGGAAAGAAAAAGGAGAAAGAAAAGAAAAAAAGAAAAGAAAAAAGCGGTCAACAACAAAAATCACCCCCGTGTCACCCTTTCTCTCACACCGCGATTATCCACCACCGCGAGACCGTCTTCGTGTTATCGTCGCGTTATTATTAGTCCCACGCGAGTTATCCATTCGGCCTCGGATCCTCGATCGAGGTGAAAAAAAGGAAGGCGACGGATTGCACGGTGTTATTGAATGGAAACGGCACACGGTATCGTCGATTCACGGTGTCGCGTCGTTCACGGGTCGCAGCATGGGTCGCGCGAGACGTGGCCTCGTCGCGGTACTACGCCAAACGAGAGCGGAAGGCAAACTGGACCGAGCGGCGGAGTCTGGCTTTGGATGCTGCGTGTACGGTGCTGGTGCCGCTTTAGCCGGCAACGAGGACGGCCACGACGACGACGCCGACGCCGACGCCGACGCCGCTCGTGGCAACGATGGCGCGAGGCGTAGGAACCGCCGCGGCCGAAGCGCCCTCATCTCGCTCCGTTCCGCACCGATATTCCCTCCCCGTCCCCTATTCCTCCCGCTTCCACCCCTCTCGCGCTCCCTCCCGCGCTTCATCCTTCTTTCCCACTTTCAGCCCTCTTCCACCGTCGTTCTCTCTCTCTCCCTCTCCCTTTCTCTCTCTCTCCATCCCAACTCTCTCCGTTCCACTCTCCGGCCGCATCTCCCCACTACCATATCGATCCTACAGGAAAGGCCCTGTGTGTGCCGCGTTCCATTTGCTTCTGCCGAGCGGAGGCTACGAATCGCTCTCCCGCTTCGCTATTTTGCCTATTTGAAAAGATTCGTCGAGACATCCGATGCCTCGTCTTCGTGCTCCCTCCTTTAACGAGATGTTCCTTCGTTGGGATTTTAATCGTTGCTCCTTCGTTCGTCCGGACTTAAACGCTTTTTCGCGAATAATTGTAAAAAAAGAGAAGAAGGTATTTTGTAGTTTTGCAAAAAGGGTAAAGTTTGCTTGCACGGATGCAGCACGCGAGTCTCGAGCGTTCTTATCTATCGAGTAACATCTTTGAATGAACGACGATTTTATTATCGGAGGAGGAGGAAGAGGAAGAGGAGGATTGTTGGATCATGAAACGAAACATAGGATTATTAATTCGAAGGACGATCCAGTTTCAATTCTCATCACATTCGATCGACCAAGTTCGAATCGATCAAGTTCGTCTCGAGAAAGCTGGCGGTTCCGTTCCAGGAATATTGTCTTCTCTGAATAGGGAAAGCGTGTGAAAGAAACACTTGTCTGGTCGAAAGAAGTGGTACAAATGGACTGGAAGAATATACCGGAAATAAACTTTCGTTATCCCTTTCGTTACACGCTGTTGTTCGCGTAGTTGGTTTACGTACCTACTAATATTTATTACGATTCTCGTTTTAAAGCATGAGAATGGATAGGGGTAGGGCTCGAGCAGGGTGAGTATTTTCCACGGGCTATTCCACTGGTTGGACTATAGGAATTAGAACGGAAGGAATTAGGCGGAAAGTTATCTTTAATAGATCGCGAGCTCGTTCTACGAGCCTCGTTCCTTTGATAATGCTATTATCGTGGATTACACGGGTGAAGATTACACTCTCCGCGCTCGTAAACGTAATTAGGGGATATGATATTTTCTTTTTTTTTTTTTTCTTTCTTTCTTTCTTTTCTTTTTCTATCATCTCGATCCGAATGAAACACACGCCAGCCCGCCCGATCCTCCACGGATGAATGAGAAAGAGTTTCGAGGGGGAGATTCGAGTGTACCTCGAATGAATCTGTTCTTTGGAGTGGCGCCGCTTCGTCAGCGGGGGAAAATAGACGAAAGATTTGAAGCATTCCACTTCCTGGCACGGAAATGAGAAAAATAATCCGCGCGGATGAACAGAGGCTACGAATTGCTCTGGCGCCGCTGCACAAAGCCGAAAAGGAATAGTCGAGGCCGAAACGCAATGCACTTTGCTCTCGCTCTTTCTCTCTCTCTCGCTCCCTTATTCTCTTGAGTACTACGCATCATTAC